GTTCAGATTTCAGCTTCATAGACAATTATCTTAATCTAATTGCAAATTGGAATTGCAATGATCCAAAACAAAACATGCAGACACATGTGGTGTTGAAAGTGATCCGTCCTTGTTGCTCAAGCCCAAACAGCAAAACTGCCTGTTCAGATAAAAATTCAGTTGCTGTCAGATTAATGCAAAGGAATGCATGTTTCAGTCACACATTTAAGTTTCCCTTGAGTTCCTTAAAGCTGTAGATACACAGCTCATAAAACATCTGCTCTCAATGGGGAAAAACACCATGGTGGACATCTATACTGATGTGGACAGGGTAATGTGTTAGGGACAAATTAATGCCACAAAAAGCCACAAAAGGCTGAATTTAGACACCCAAAAAATCAAAGGGAAAAACTGATGTGGCAGATATCATCACTGCAACAACTAAAAATGATACTGAGTAGTTTGAATGACCCCTACATGCTTGCATGCAACATCGAGGCATGCTCCTAATGAGATGGTTTGACCTGCAACCTTGTGAGACGAGCAGAAATGTTTCAGAGGTTTTCTATTGGATTTAGGTCAGGCGAGCTCATGACCAGTAAATGGTATCAATTCTTCCATCCTCCATGAACTGGCTTCAAACCAAGACCCATCTGCTAGTAAAATAGCTCACTTTTATTATCTTTGGCCTTAAAGAGCTATTAAAACACTAGCTCCCAATTTGTAGCAACACTAGCATCACTGAGGAATGTGCGTTTATTCATATGAAACTTTCAAAAATAATTTTAAGCATATGTTTAAAACTAAAGCCGACAAACTTCCAGCAACACAAAGTCAGCTCCTGGTTCAAATCACTGAACTGTGGAGTGAAATTCTTTGAGTAACAGAGAACAGAGCATTCAATTTCGAAGCAAGCGCCATTAAGATCCGGTGTTAATTTAAAGTTTCAGACAGTTTCTTACTTCTGAAAGATTAGAATTTAGTGCGAAGTAGAGGCAGAGGCAGCTCCGGCATCCGTATAATTACGGGAAAATTACATTCATTATTGTAATTTACATCTCATCTCCAATCCAATTATTAACAGTTTGACCTGCATGGCACATGTTAGCATGGAAATCTAAAATGGGCTCCCGAGGCGGTGGCAAGAGGAGGGGTGGAGAACGGAAAGTGAAGCGAGAGGTAGAGTTTTGGGACTGCGGGAGATGGAGGAGGGAAAAAAAACAATCAATATGGCTCTAAAAGATGATGATTTTAAGTAGCCATAATTCTCTGCCTCAGAGCACAGCTGCCAAGGGTGCTGCTGCTACACTTTGATGCCTGATTTGCAATAATGCTGCCAGTAATTCACTCATCTGCATCTCTGGAGGGACCATCAGCTGTCTGTTTATCTCACTGACCATGTACATGCAATGCCAGTCAGCCTGACGCTTAAAACAAGTTTTGAGACAGCAACATATAAAAAGAGTTGATGTGCATTACATACAATCTCCCAGGAACTAATAGGCTGTGTAATACAACCCTGTTTGCAGTTTCTTGGTGAAGCGTCCCCTCACCGCTGCAACAAACAATACATGTCATTTGCTTCACCAACCTGATGACCTCTTTTCTACCATCCTTCTTCATCATCTTGTCATGTTCTCCAAACACTGCTCTTCATAGAAGTAAGGCTCATTACAGGAGACTATATGTGCAGGAATCAGTTTTTCTGCTTAACCACAATCTAAGATTAGCTATTTATGCAAAAAAAACATGCTTTAGAGCATGTTTGCCTTCAGTTAATCCAAAACGCTGCAGCAAGAGTCCTGACAGGGACTAGAAAGAGAGAGCAGATTTCTCCTGTTTTGGCTTCTCTTCATTGGCTTCCTGTTAAATTCAGAATTGAATTCAAAATCCTGCTCCTCACATACAAGGTCTTAAATAATCAGGCCCCATCTTATCTTAGTGACCTTGTAGTACCATATCACCCTATTAGAGCAGTTCGCTCTCGCTCTGCAGGCCTACTTGTTGTTCCTAGAGTATTTAAAAGTAGAATGGGAGGGAGAGCCTTCAGTTTTCAGGCCCCTCTTCTGTGGAACCAGCTTCCAGTTTGGATTCGGGAGACAGACACTATCTCTACTTTTAAGATTAGGCTTCAAACTTTCCTTTTTGCTAAAGCATATAGTTAGGGCTGGACCAGGTGACCCTGAATCCTCCCTTAGTTATGCTGCAATAGACATAGGCTGCCGGGGGATTCCCATGATGCATTGAGTTTTTCCTTTCCAGTCAACTTTCTCACTCAGTATGTATTAATAGACCTCTCTGCATTGAATCATATCTGTTATTAACCTCTGTCTCTCTTCCACAGCATGTCTTTATCCTGTCTTCCTTCTCTCACCCCAACCAGTCGCAGCAGATGGCCCCGCCCCTCCCTGAGCCTGGTTCTGCTGGAGGTTTCTTCCTGTTCAAAGGGAGTTTTTCCTTCCCACTGTCGTCAAAGTGCTCATAGGGGGTCATATGATTGTTGGGTTTTGACTGTACAATATGAAGCGCCTTGAGGCGACTGTTGTTGCGATTTGGCGCTATATAAATAAAATTGAATTGAACTGAAAGTTTGCGTAGGCGAAGAAAGCTTTCACAAACTCATCACCGTGACATCCAAATAAGAAAAAGTGTGGCTAGTATCTATGAAAAAAATCAGCAGAAGGTCAAACAGGTCTTCACAGTTTAATTCATTACTTTATGATTCTGTTCAACAATAATATCTAAAAGGTGTTTCCATGAGATAAAGAGGGTAAGAGCTCCGTATCAGATATAGAACAACACTGAGAAAACACTCTGTCTTCTGTGTAATTCACATGCAAGGCTTTGGAGGGCAGAAATAAGGTCCACACCCCACCATCCACCATGAACACTCAATAAAATTACACTGCATAATGACTACACGTTATAGTATAGTTACAGTCAAATTCTATAGTTTGTATCTACTGTAAAGAAACAGCAATCTACAACCACTCTGCAACACTGAGAGGGTTTAAATAAAGTTCTAAAATTTTTCTCTTAAAAAAATGTTCAGGAGATAATACTTTTTCAAATGCAGGAACTTTGATGGCTAGGCTACCAACTGTAAGTGCCTCGATGCATTTTCAATCATCCTGAGCGCTGCGTTTTCATCATTATTTGAGATATTAGATGACCTAAAATTACATACAGGTGGCCTGAAATTTTGTCCATTTCTTTTCATATAGTGTTTCCACTGAAAGATTGATATATTACACTGATACTCAAGGTTAATTAAATAAAAATAATCTCTAACTATCTCAGGCAGACATAAAACACGATTAGGCAGAACAGCGATGTCCATCTCAGTCGCTGTATTTAAGATAGTGGTGCAACGTGAGGCTTCCACAAACAGACATCTGCTCCCATTAATTTTTAATGGATTCATTTTAAGTTGTGGGAATGCTTTAGTTTGTTTAAAGATGTAATTACACACTAATCAATGTATATGAATGAGGACAGTAGTCTTTTTTTCTATTAAATAAAATGTAAACAAGTGATACGTTTCACTTTAGTTTTGTTGCCATGGATTCACATGATTTAAATTACACTTAATTGAGCAGTTTGATCTGAATGTGCTAATTTTAAGTCGCTCTTTCAACACACAAACAGTGTTCAAAGCTATAAATGAGTTAGGGTAAAGTCGTGGTGGTTTGTGTGAAGCTTTTTGACAGCAGGTCAGACAGCATCACACGCACCTGCTTTTTCCACGCTGTGCCTCTGGTTCACTTTCAGACTGCCACCATTCTCACGTCATTTCCATAAATCTTCACATTCTATCAGGTTGGAACGAGCTTTTGTGTCAGAGCAGAAGAGTAAAGTCAACTGTTCATTCATGTGCACGACTGTGTCAGCCGGCGCCTATATGTGCGCTTTGGCTTTGAACGTCTTAGATGTCCTTTGAAGTTTAAGACAGCTCCGCATCAAGCTCACTGGTTCCACTTCACAAGATGTGAATATGTGGACACAAGCAACATCTGACTCACCGACTTGAGCGTTGCCATTTCCTGATTGTGTGTGCCACGTGTGAGTGCGTGCACCTCCATCTTGCTCTGGCATGTGTGCTTTTGCTCATGCGTGACCGAGTAACCCACTGCGTCTCAGTTCCTTCCGTTGTCTCGGTTTCTACCTGTCTGTCTAACTTAGGGCAATGACATTCCCAGGACACCTTTCGAAGTCTCGACAGACACTCAACTCTGAATAATACACCTGAAGCATGTCAAGTAAATCACGCTGTGGTCAGATTGGTGTCAGTTAGAAAAAGTTTACTTTTTTCACGTCTGTTTGAGTCAGGATCTCACAGCCCTGTTACAAACAAATTAATAACATTGCTCACATTACTCCAATCCAGAACTGAATGGATGTGTTTTGACAACCTGTGGTCACCTTTATCAACACTGTGTCAGCCAAGGTGATTCAGAACAACAAAGCATAGCATTACCTAAGCAACACAGATTTTTGGGGGCTATAATTTAGTAGCTGAATTTCACACCACAAAATAAGCAGATACCCAAGGAGCTGAATGTAAGCATCAGTGCAGACCACGGTCTGAAATTATTACCTTTTGTTATGCTTGGCTTCCCAAGTAACTTTTAGCTTTCAGACGTCAGCTTTCATGTGCCTGACCTTTAAAGCTTTGCATTTTGAATGTCTGCTAGTGGCATACATTTCCTGCTCGTTCTTACAAAAGCACAGCACAGGCCTCAAGGTACTAGTCACACTGATGATAACTTTTCTCTTCTTTGCATCAGAAGGCTACTTTCTCTTTTTTATACTGTACCACTCAACAATGCCAACTACCTTTTGCTTCAAGGCAGAAAATTGACTTCACGCTTCCAAATATTCCAGTCTACAGCTCAAGAACATTTCACTGGTCAAGTAGACCTGAGAACTGTGCATTTTTTTAAACAGTTATGAATGAATCAAGAATAAAGACAGGTGACAATAACAATTAGTGGTGATGTAAATGTTGATGCTAGACTCACTGGATCGCAGAGCAGATGGGGTGACTTCAATCTCACTACTGGCCTGGTAGGGCTGGAAGGCTGATGCTGAATTCATCTCACTGGCGAAGGGTTCTGGGCTTTGTGTACCTGTGGAACTGGCACTGGTACCGTCGCCTCCATTGTGAGGATCCTGCTCTTCATATATTGCAACCAGCTAGACGGAGAGGAGAAGGAAGTATTTGTATGTTAGCATGTGCTTTGAAGAAAAAAACGAACAAATAGATGGTGCCGATGGCTTGGTAGATGTGTAGACAGACAGAGAGATAGATGGATAGATGTGGAGATAGATGGATGTCCAGATGGATGTCTAAAATCATGTCTAGATGGCTAGATAGATTGATAGAGGTCTAGATGTTTAGATAGATAGATAGATAGATAGATAGATGCATGTCCAGATAGATAGATTTCTAGATAGATAGATATCTAATGTCTATCTATCTAGATATCAATGTCTAGATGTCTAGATGTCTAAATGTTAAAAGAGTAAATAAAACTGCCAAACTGCCACCATGTGAGCACGCTTTTTATTCAACTAATCTACTACTTTTGTCCCCATTCACAGATATGCATACACTCACTTTCTCTACAGTTTAATCTTGCAACATCTGCAGTCATGGAGCATGAGGTGCTCAGGGTTGCCAAGTTAGGCTCCCACAGCGAGCAGCTGCTCCATTCTAACATAGGTGATACGTTGCCACATTTCCCAGGCCAGATAGGAAGAACTCCTCATAGCATCCCATAATTATCTGAGTCTAACACACACCACTGATTACTACAGCCAACAAAGAGCAAGAAAAATACCTCATTTAGGTTAAAGTAAAAAAGACAATCAGCTGGAAAAAAAAATCAGACTGGCCATTTCCAACTCACCACATGTGTCAAAGCTTTACTTAATACTCGTGGACTGAGAGGGATGCACAAGGAGAGAGAGATGAAAGAGATGAAAGATCCCCAAAATGCTGCACAAACTGTAGTCTTGGAGTGAAGGTACCAATGCCAAGTTGCTTTCATTGCCAGCACAACCTGTTAATAAACCTCTCTGATGGAGATTAACCTCTCAATCCATCGAGACAGAGCAATCAGGCAGCAGCAGAGCGATAGAGATCGTGCAATACAGGAACAATAGCATGTATATTACAGACATAAGACGACTCCCTTTTATGTCTTGTGCTTCCTCCAGGTCTGTGTAATGGAAAGCTGTGAACGTGGAGGGAGCAAACAGCTATTGTGTATCCCATATCGTATTTGTCTGAAGGTAAAAATAGCACAAGCGTTTTTCTGTGTATTTGCTGTTTTTCATCACCTCAAGTGCAGGAAAATCTGCATATAAACAAGTTTAGAAGCCCCTGCTCTTCTTTGTGATTTAATTCATTCATATGCAGAGGATGATGCTCAAGCGTGCTGTGTTTGTGTCTGAATTTATGGCTCTCGGTGAGTATGCCCATGTGGTTTACTGTTGCTGTAATTCACCACACAATTAAAGCAAACTGTTTTGTTTAGGGTATTTTTTTCCCCTTCCCCTCTCTCTGTTTCCTTGCATCCCAATGCCATTCCTGAGACACACTCCATCACCAAAGGATTTCTCCCATTTCGCTCTAATCGTGTTCCATTTCGATGCTGAAATTACATTTCTGAGGTTGTAAGGGTTTATCACAAATTTACTTAGTGCAAAAGAGAGGCAATCAGAAAGGGGGGGAAAAAGAAAGAGAAAAGGCCTCAATATTACAAATCAGGCAGTTTGAGGAGGTAATATCGTGCAGATTTGCTCACTGGGAAGTGTGATTATTAAGCAGGCAAGAAAAGCTGCTTTGCTTTGTGTTGAACTGCAAACACAGTTAATAGGCAAAAACGAGGATAAATATTGATCAGTGTGCCATTCCTGCAATCTGAGACTTTTTTTAGGGGGGGCTTCTTTGAATGAATTGTTTAAAATTCTGCTCCGCCGGCTCCTTTTTTGAAGTGTTAATGATGAGCAGGCCAGCTATGCGAAGGACCAGAGGCAGCTGTGAACACAAACAAAAGTAGAAGGGCCGTCTCCAGCGGCATTTGCGCCGCCCCAGCGTACAGTATGCGCGACTGCATGACTCATTAGCGACAAAGCAATCAAGCCTCCCATTCATATGTTTCTGGGAGCATTTAGCGATCCAGCAAGCCATCTCCCTGCCAGCTGCCCATTTGAGAGAAGTGGTGAATACTGTTGTTGGTGTTGTGGAGAAGTATGATTCATTTTTAAATACACCCCAAATCCCCCTAATTAGGTCCACTTTGCAGTGACGCACAGTCTTTCACCAGACACTCTAGAGAGCACTCTGCTGGTATCAGACACGTACAACTAAACTCATTCACACACTCTCCGTTTCATAATCAAATGGGTCCGCATTTATCCCGCATTCAATATTTATGGGCTCTTGAAAGTGCTCGTTCCTCCCTTCTACCCAAGAAGACATGTAAAGTTCTTTTTTGTACACAAGCTGAGGGCAGAAGCATCAAACTGCTGTAGGTCGTCCAACTTATAAAGCCAAGAAGAAGAAAAAAAGAAAATGCAAGAACTGGCTGATTCCCAAACTAGCAGACACATCTTTTGCTTTTTGCCGTGTCCGTTGTTGAGCTGATCTATTCACTGATACTACGTTCCATTAATTCTTCTATAAGTAGAGTACAGCTTCCTTTAAAAACGGCTTTTTCAACTATCTGACCTCAGACGGATGCAGCTTGCACAGCTATCTGTGTTTAATTTAAGTGTTTAGCAGCGATGGTCATAATACCACAATAAGACGATTGTTTTTTTTTAACTGTACTTTCTGCATTGTGTTTACCTGCAAGGCTGCAACTCTCATTTCTTTTCCAGAAAGGTCGAGAATTGCTTGTAGTCAGCTGTTTGAGCTGTGACCCAAAAAAAAACTACAATCGAACGGTAGAAAAATGAGCTGGCAAACGGCCTAACCTGAGCTTTTGTTTGACTTACACGGTTATCATCAGTACAAAGTGTCTTTGGAGTACCCAATAAAGAGTCCTCGCCTTCCTCCCGCTGCGCGAGGCCTTTCCAGCGCCACCGTGTCCTCTGTCTGTGCTGTGGAGAATGGGACACACTTGGCCAGAGGGAAAGCTGACGCAATTCTTGCTGTTGACGGGACAGAGCTCAAGCGGCAACACACTGAAAGCCATCACAAAAACGCTTTCCCTCCATCTGGGAATTGGTCACAGCCACTTTAGAACTGAGACGATTTCACTTTTCACTTTTCTTTTTTTTTTATTCTCACACTTTCCCCCCTGTGGCTGCCGTACAGCGGCCATGGAGTTGCATTCAGAAGTTTAAAAAATAAGAGGAAAAAGTTTTTTAGCGATGAAGCACAGACGGGAACAGCATGGCTAATTGTCAAGTGGCGTGACAGCTGAGGCTGAGGATTCAGAACAGATAGGAGGGAAGAAGGAGGGAGGCTGGAGAAGAATTTTAAAAAGCCCCTGAAAAACAAGATGCTATAACCTATCATAAAACAGACTTTTATATGATAACCAAAAGGGTAGGGAGAGAGGAACGAGAGAAGGCGAGCACATTACAGGATGTGAGTTGAAGAAATGTTCCAGTTTCCAGTCTCAGGATAAACTCTGGAGCGATTTGAAAAACCTATTTAGCTCCTACCTGCTTCAGTTGACAGAAGCGAGGGAAAGAAAAGAACTGAACTGAGTCTTATTTCATGGGCCTCTCTCTCTCTCCAGTAGGGAGCTACAACACTGCCGCTACCTTAAGCCCCCGGAGCAAGGCTGACACTCATCCACTCTCAGCTGGTTCCACTGACTGTCACAGCAGCTGCCAATCAACCGCTATCTACCTGGATGCCTGAGGGCTGCTGGAGAGAGGCAAGAGCAGGGGATGGCGAGAGATGATGATGAAGGGGGCGAGACGAGGCAGAGGATAGGAGAAGGGAAAGAAAAGAGAGGAGTCGGATGAAGCCGGGCATTCTCTGCAGTCTGGGTAGAAGATGTATTTGGAATTTAGAATTTCCATATCTATAACACAGAGAGCACTGAGACAGGGCACCGAGAAAAGAAAAAAAAACAGCATCTCAGGGAAGCCTTTCATGTTGGCCTCCTTTGATCTCTATCCAGCTTTTGGCAGCAAGGTGGAGAAGAAGAAGAAGAAGAAGAAGAGATGGAAAGGAAGCGGCTGAGGAGGGAACGAGGAGCTGTTTTGACAACCAAACCCCCCCTCCCTCCCAAAACTCCCAGATACATCCTTCTACCCACCCACGCACCCCAGCACCTCTGATCTGTCATGAAGCCCGGGCATTAGGAGTGGCACTGGTACAAAACAGCCGTCCCAAGCGCTCACAAAGTGGTGCTCCGAAGACACAAGACAACAGAGGTTATTAGAAGTCACGGGGCAGCACTCGCAGTGCCAGTGAAAACATGTAATACCTGCACTGCAATGCTCTGACGCTAATCCACATCTGCCACGGCAGCTTTTTTACAGCCCAGTGGAAGGGACGCCTGACACGAGTCAACCGGCGGCAGCCCCCCCATCCGCTCAATCCACACCTTCAATTAAAGAGCACATCCAAAGTCGTGCCAGCCTGCAACCTGCTGTGAATATTTATTGCTGTAGCTAAAAAGTCTCCCCTTAGAGGAGAGATTATTTATTCATTTGTCTTACTTCCCCCCCGTTCCATTCACATCACATCCAAAAGGTAAAATTCAATGTGAATCTAACAAGTACTGCTTACAGCTTAAAGAATAGGCACATTTGTCTCCTGCAGTTGGATGTGTGCGTGTGGATGTCGCTCCGTGAAAACTTCGCATATTTGTTATGAGATGAACGAGGGAAAGATTAACACTTTGCTCAGTGCATTATTCAAAATGATAAATGAATGGATGCCGCGTTGTTATGCAATGTCTGCGGTAAGTCATATATACTGCCTCTGATAGCACAACACCACACACCCCCACACCCACACAAACAGACCAGGTTTCATCTCCCCTCCCTATCATTTATCATCATTTTATTGCAAGGGCACCAGGGGCGCAAAGTTATTACGGGTACAGTAGTGGTGGAAACTGTGAAAGCCACTTACTCCACCAGAAACTCCAAGGACTCGAAACTTGTTGAGTAATAGCTACGAGGCACCATCCCTCATCCACGCGCCAACCATCTATCCA